AAGGTTAAGGATATTCCATACTTGGGATAGCGAGGATTCAATATCCAGGAATGATAGCAGCGGCATTAGTAGCATATCTTCCAGCCTATGGTCTAGGTATCGAAAAGCCTGATTATGAGAGTAAAGGATAGTTAAAGACGATGTGATGTCTCGCTTGATGTTCCAGAACAACAAAAAGAAATATATGGCGCAAGCAAGTTGAAGGAAGGCCGCGAATAGGATAAATAGATATGTATAGGTCCCGAGCTAAAGTATAGCAGAGCGATAAAGTTTTAACGAAACACGAGTAAGGATGAGGAAAGGCAAGTAAAAGGGTGACGAGAATGGATAAGTCCTCGGGATTAAAACTCATGAAAACAAGAAAGCTAATGGTTTCTCTAAGTTATAAAAAGTTCAGTATAGCCTGAATGAACTCAAAGGAGTCTAAGACTCATAACATTCAGAAGAGATGGAATGCTCCCCTATTAATAGAATGAGGGTGTAATTATTATAGAAAAAAATGAAAAATGACGTTTGGGCCTTCAATTGAGTAATGATCTAACAAATAACAGAAAGGGATCTCATGAATTGGACATGATTAAAATACCTACGCAAGGTAAATCACATTGGGATGGCATAAGATACGGTTATGAAAGCAGGGTATCGCCCCAGGTGGATCAATCTAATCATTTCAGATGTTCCCCGATAAAACGTAAATCCTAGCAGCAATATTACATAAAAAGTTAAGTTATCAAGGGTGAATTATGGATCAAAATTGAGGTGAATCAACAATGGATGGATAAAAGTTATAAAGCATAAGAAGAGATTAGGTTGTCATTCTTAAGATGAACAGTAATGTGGAAGCATTAGAGGACATAGATTTATACGTATAGGATAAACAATGAAAGTAACCTGGGATTTGGTAGCAGACCTCAGTAACGAGAAGTCGAGGTAAGAGTTATGGTATAGTATGACCTAGGTAGATGCTGTAAAGTCATACGAATTGATAACCACGTCTATAAAATAAGAGATAACAATATTCGTAAGTTCGACAAAAAGCGAAGAACTTCAGGATTGGCTAAAAACTGGAGGAAAAAGGAGAGGAAAGTTGCATAAGCACACTTACAAGGTCAGTATCGTAGAAACTGCATGATGGGAGGTAGAAACAGTTATGAGATTAAAAGGAATTCGATCACAAGTCATGGCGTGGGAAAGAGGCCTAAAGGGGGGAATGCCCTGGCCTTTAGACTTAATTCACAGATCAGTTGCCTAGATGGCAAGAGGACTACTAAAGTATTCTCAAGAGCTATGGGATATGAGAACGATAAGCGCACCAGTCAACGTTCGAGGACGAATGTTCCAAAGGGGGGGAATGATATTACACCCCATATTTTCGTACATGAAAATATGCCATAAATAAATTAATGAGAGCCCGGAAATGAGATGTCACGTTCCGCAGTACTACATTACGACAATGTTGTACCTTGTAGTATTATACATGGAATTTGTCGTAAGATAATTGACATCGGTCCAAGGAAAATACTATTCAGATATTATAAGGATTATGCTATTTCACAAGGGATTAGTAAATTCATGAAGGTGAAAGGAGGAGCAAGTCAAAGAAAGTAAATTTTGTCCAAGTTTGACATTTTGGGATAAAATATGGCCCGAGCTAAAATATTCGGTATTTATGGACTAGTACCATACAAGGTACCACATGACCATGATAGTAAGGTGTATAAAGTGTATTAAAAGTGAGTAGTATTTTAAGTAATTTGAGATAATTCTTGATTAAGTGGATAAGAATAATTTTTGGGTTGCCACATGGCATTAAGCCAAGCCAAGTGGCATAAATATGAGTGATGAGTCAATAGGCTTTAGTTGGGGAATGTGAATTAAAAAGGAGGATCAGCCACGTTACCAAATACATAGTAATATCATTACAAATGGAAGAAGTAGTGATAACCTAGTGCTACTTCATTTGTGAAGCAAACTAACATGCATAGCCTTGTTTACTATCTCACATTCGGTTATTATTTCATATTGCTTTAGTTTGTTTCACCAATCTGTGCTTTAGCTTTAGAGCTAAACATTTCAATTCTAATCGAGGAATTCTCAACAAATGAATTCGTTTGAATTTCACAATGCTACATCAGTGTGAGATACAATTTGGAAGGAGCACGGTACAATCTTTCTCAGGAGTATCATACGGATTTTTTCCTACTTCGATCCGCCATTATGTGTTTTTCGCAAAAGACGTGTGTTAGAGAAATTGTCAAGAGAATCAGTTCAGGTATGTTAAGGCTATCCCTTCTTTCTTTTGGCATGATCCATACGATATGAACGAAATGTGCAAATGCACAAACTCCATAAGTGACTCTACTCATAGAAGTAATAGAAATATCTATGTTCTTTAACTCCCGTTTGTCATAATATTTTATCATCTGTTCATGGGTCTCAGAAAAATACGAAAGTTGAAAAGATGTTACTTTATGATATTGCTCAAGAGGCAAAGTGGTCTTATGATCTTCCGAATGATTTCATTGACGTACTTTTCATGCATTGCATTCATGTGCATTGACCCATGACCAGATGGCGTTATATACGTGTATATATGTAAATATATGTATATGAGATATGGGAAAAAGTTACGGCGTTACATACGCACCACCACCTGATCAACTGGTATATGATGATGATGTTGCCCACAGTAGCCGAAATATGATTCAAACGGCGTTATATACGCATATATATGTAAATATGATTCAAACGACGTTATATACGCATATATATGTATGTATATATGTATATGAGATATGAGAAAGGTTATGACGTTATATACGCACCACCACCTGATCAGCTGGTATACGATGATGATTTTGCCCGTAGTGGCCAACAGAGTTTTTTTAATCAAATCATAAACCCCAATCAAGAATAATTTTTCGTAAATTTTTTACTTTTTTCGGAATAAGTGTTGATTTTGTATTTTAATTAAAAAAATTCGAATAAATATTTTTTTCGAATTTTTTTACTTTTTTCGGAATAAGTGTTGATTTTGTATTTTAATTAAAAAAATTCGAATAAATATTTTTTTCGAATTTTTTTACTTTTTTCAGAATAAATGTTGATTTTATACTTTATTAAAAAATTCTGAAAAAATAAAATTTTCAAAAAAATAGTTTTCGCATATGGATTGCTTAGGTGGACGACCATGTAGGCAATTCTAACCCAGTTGGACTGCCATGTCAGCTTCAATGGCAAAACTAACGGTTTAGGAGCATTTTTGGGCCAAAACATAGACGACAAGGATATTTTTGGCACCAAAAACAAACAGAGGATATTTTTGAGCTATTTCAAATAGTTCAAGGATATTTTTGGACCTTTTCCGTATAAAAACCATTCACTATAAAAGTCAAATTTTTTTGGAACCGACTTTTATGTTATGTTATAATATATATCCTTTATAACATCACCTCACTATAGCAGCCAAAATTTTTTGGAACAAACGAGTCTGTTATAGAGAGGTTTGACAGTATACACATAATGGCAAGAAAATAGAACTATATTTCCCGAGAGATACGGAATAATTGACAACTCAATTTATAGAATCTAGTAAATATAGAATGAAGTCAGAGACTTTTAGTTTTTTTTTTTTTAAAGTCAGTCACTTCAACCCTATGTGCTTCGGAAATAATAGGAAGGGAAGAAGAGAAAATAAATATGAAACGCAAGTAAAATGAAGAATGGGTAATGGTTTCACAACATTTGCCGTTTAAATGTGTCTCTTGGTTTATTGTAGAATTATAAAGTGAGGAAAATAGTACTCTCGCTTTCCTACCCGAAAAAGAAAAAACGAAAAATAATTCACGTGCTTATACTGCTTTGTCTGGACTCTGGAATGAACATGTTCTTTATACTTATTTGGTTTAATTAATGCCAAGAAGAAAAGAGAAAGATAATAAAATGGTTGTAAAGTGGTTCTGGTCCACTAATTTTGTTATTTATCTCTTCCTCCTATTCATATTGTGCATCTTTCCTACTCACATCGCTTCTTGATGTAATTCATTTTGAACAAATTCAAAGACACCACCAATAATGTGATTAAAATTCTACCCATAGGGCATATTCTACACTTAATCCCTTCTTAGTGTTCTAAAAGTGTTGCTACAGTCAACTTAAGTTCCGTTAGAATAATTTAGGACCATAAATAACTATTTTTCGTTTTATTTTATGTGACGTAGTTTGATTAGTCACTGTTAATTTTTTTTTATAAACTTGTGATCTTAAAAGTTTAAAGGACAAAAGCTTTATGAGATTAATAACATATGTTAGACTATAAAAGTTTCTTATTAGGGCTAAACGAATAAAATATAAAGTTTAAAGCTAAATTTATTTTCAAATATAAAAACGTCATTCTTTTGGATCAAACTGATAAATAAAATACATCACAAAAATTAGAACGGATAGTATAAAACAGATTAAACAACATGTAGTCCCCATCTTGTCACATCTTATGCTCATTTCCGAGAAACAAAATTTATACTCCCTCCGGTTCACAATAAGTGACCAATTTATTTTTTAATTTTGCTCCAAAATAAATGTCCATTTATATAATTAAGAAAAAATTCAATTTATTTTTCCAAAATTACTCTTATGTATGTATCCCTAAAAAGTCATTTACTCCTCACATTTGAGAAGAGAAGTGCTACTATAATTATAGTGCAATATTTAATGAAAGGTCATTTAGTCACGCTAATTATTTTTGGCTATAATTTAGTATTTCTTTAATGGGTGTGCCCGAAATAAATGGGTCACCTGTGGTGGACAGGAGGGTTACTACACTTTCAAATCCACGTGTCAATATCTAAGTGGCCAACCATTCTCACAGCCAAACTAAACAATTCCAGCCGTTAGATACAGGTACAACCTAAGCAAAATACATCGTACTACACCAAAAGAACTCTCATCTGGCTGAAATTTGTAGGACTCTTCCAAGTGGTTATATCACAGGTCCAGACTCCAGAAACTCACGGAGCATTATAGTACACTGGTCACTTTGATTTTTTCGATATTTTAATAAGTATTAAAAGACCCCATCAAATCAAATACATATATAATATAATTGCAGCACAGATTTAGAGAGAGAAAGCGAAATAGGTAGTGTGTAGACGAAGGAGAAGAGAGATCACATCACATGTGGTGAAGAGTAATTGTACAAAGAACATTCTTTTGTTTTTGGGGTCAGCCATGGATGTTCCATTGCCACTGCAAAGACCATTGAGTTACAGCAATAGTGTCTCCACTGAAAGAACCCACCTCAACATCAAACCTTTTCTTGGTTTTGTCCCTCATGGAACCACATGTCTATCCGTACAAGTAACTTTCTCTTCTCACTTTGTATATCATGTGTGTGTGCGTGCGTGCGTGCGTGCGTGCGTGTGTGTGTGTGTTCAGTACAAGTGACTTTCTCCTCACTGAATAAGTATTGTGTGTGTGTGTGTGTGTCCATTTGCACTAACTTGGGGATACATATATATTGTTGTTACTTTTGCTGTTTTTTAGATTTTGAATACTCCCATGTATTCATACTTTACTATTTCAATATCAATTCTTTCATATATGGAGTTATTAAAGCTGAAAATTGAATCTCGATTGGCATTTTTCTTGGATACGTATAGTTATTGCTTTAACTGTTCTCATAGAATTTGAGTACACCCATGTGTTTATACTTTCCTATTTTAATATCAATTCTTTCATATATGGAGTTATTTGAGCTCAAAATTGAATCTTGATTGGGATTTTCCTTGGGTGTTGGAGTTGGGCACTTTGTGGTTACTTGTCATGATCAGTATTTGCATATTTGTTGGTTCTTGGTGTATGTTAGTGTTGCTGGTTTCAGTTGTTTGATAGTAGTTGTTCTTGAGAGATAGGTGTGATTGTGGTATGCTCTAATTTATGGTTTCCACTCCTAAAACAATTTCAATTGGAGAATTTTTGTTGTTAATTCTCTTATATCTGTTGCAATTCATGCAGTCTTCTTCGTGGAGGAACGATGGAATGGTTGCTGGAGTTTCATATCCATTTTGTGCAAGTGCGTTCATTGCTATGATTATTTAGTTGTAAATATTAGTTATTCTTTGGTGCTACCTATTTCTCAAACTAATTGTAAAGATTGTATGCTGTAGATTTCTCCAGAAGAAGACAGAGAAAACTTTCAACTCCTAGGAGTCAAGGCTCTTCACCAAAGGGGTTTGTGCCAAGGACGCCTTCAGGGATGAGCACACAAAGAAGGGATCAGAAGAGCAACGGTGATAAAGAAAGTCAAAGTACTTCATCATCCAAAGAATCAGAAATTTCCAACCCCAAGACGTTTGAAGCAAAAGTTGAAACTAGTGATGATGGCACTAAACAAGTGGGAAGGGACCGCAAGTCTCAGGAGGAGGAGGATGAATTCAATGGTGCCACTAAATCAGTAAGTCTATCACCTGTTCGTGGATCAACTCAATTTGTTGGAAGTGGAGAAACTGGTGACAATGACGTGGGTGCTGTAAATTTTAATAAATCAAATAGAACGGAAGAGAGTGATTTTCAAATTGATTCTGTAATAAGAGAACAAAGTGGAGGTGATTACTCCGAAAATATTCAGGGGAAAACTAGCAAGGGCAGCCTCGCTTTGGGTACACCACTTTCTGAAATATTGCAGCTAGATATTGATGGAGGTTATAAAGTTGAACAATACAATCATGATGAGTTGGATGAGACACAAAAACTGAAAGAAAATGATGCTGGGAATGTTGAAGACAAAAGACCCTTAGCAAGAGAGCTGTTGGAAATGACTAAGCCTAGCAATGTGGAATTTACTGAAAGCAATGAGATCACTGAAGTAGACAGTAATAGTTTCTTAAAACCAGATTCAGTTGACGAGAGTGAGCCATCAACTGTAGGAACATTAGAGACTGAAGATATTTCTCTGAAGTTAAGATTGGAGATGGAAGCGAATCTACGTAGGCAGGCTATAAAAAGGCTTGCCGAGGAAAATTTATTGCAAGGAATCAGATTATTTTGTTTCCCAGAGGTTGTAAAACCCAATGAAGATGTCGAAATATTCCTTAACAGGAGTCTTTCCACTTTGAATAATGAACCTGATCTCTTGATTATGGGAGCTTTTAATGACTGGCGGTGGAGATCTTTTACTACAACACTAACTGAGACTCATCTCAGTGGAGATTGGTGGTCTTGCAAGATCCACGTTCCGAAGGAAGCATACAAGATTGATTTTGTGTTTTTTAATGGAAAGGATGTCTATGACAACAATGATAATAATGATTTCAGTATAACTGTGGAAGGTGGTATGCAAATTCTTGATTTTGAAAATTTCTTGCTCGAGGAGAAACGGAGAGAACAGGAGAAACTTGCTAAAGAACAAGCTGAAAGAGAAAGACTAGCAGAAGAACAAAGGCGAATAGAAGCAGAGAAAGCTGCACTTGAAGCTGATAGATCACAGGCAAAGGAAGAGGCTGCAAAGAAAAGGGAAGTATTGCAAGCACTGATGGCAAAAGCCTCGAAGACTCGTGATATCACCTGGTATATCGAACCAAGTGTATTTAAATGTGAGGAGAAGGTCAAGTTATACTATGACAAAAGTTCAGGTCCTCTCTCCCATGCTAAGGACTTGTGGATCCATGGAGGATATAACAACTGGAAGGATGGTTTGTCTATCGTTGAAAAGCTTGTTAAATCTGAGAGAATAGATGGTGATTGGTGGTATACAGAGGGTAAGTGGGTGAATACATACATAGATACATATAACTATTTATGCTCTTACTTGCACTTCTTTTAGTCAGTGCTGAGTTTCATATGAACGTGCTTGTTCAAAATCTGGATAGTATGAATTTATCACATGAATGGTAAAGTAACTTATATTCATTATGAATTATAGAAAGAAAATTTATTTTCTTCACATGCATGCAATTCCGTAGTCAAACTTACAATTGGAAGCCATTTGTGGTGGGAACGCCTTTTTGTTTCAATTTACAACAACAACAACATACCCATTATTTTTGTTTCAATTTCTTTTAGGAAAATGCATAGTCAGCATTTAACTCCTCTAGATAAATTTTGTGATTTGGTTTAAACACATATTTGTTGGAATTTACTAATTTCCCTGCACATGATTGTGATGCCCACTCTTTTGTTTAGCTTTCTTCTATTCTTTCTTTCCTTGGCGGAGGCAAGGGTTGATCGCTTCTGTAATAAATTATTTCTCTTTAATATGGGAGTCCTCAGTTCTGTGCTAGTTTTCCTGCATTGAGTGGATTAGTTCAACAATATTGCTTCACATAATACACGTGGATATAATCCATGAGCGAAACATGATGAATTTTCCTCTGTTTTCAGAGTATGTTTTCGACTATCGGGAATGAACTTGTATTTTTGTACCTTGCCAATGTGACCATTTGCTATGTTTATAGTTTTAACACTACATTACTTTTTAATCCATCTAAAATATGGTGTAGTTACCATGCAACCCTAGGTTGACCACTAGACTGACAACTGACAGCCAATAGTTAATCTTTCACATCAGAAGTTGATACTTGTTATCTTTACAGTGTAATAATTCTTTTCAATTGTTCCCTCATGGTAAAGTGAAGGCAAAGATGATATAAGACCCAACATATGGGTTAGAATAAATTCTGGATATCTGTGATATAAGCTTGAAATGGAATTAGCATCTTATGAAGTTGTAACTGCATTGTGATTTGTTACAAGAAAACTGGGTTACCATGTCCCCGGAGCATTTTGATTGTGATCTGTAACAGGTTTCGTCTGAAAAATAAGACTCTTGTTTTGTTTCTTAATGGCTAATTACAAGATTGATCCTATCAATCTTTCTTGTGTGATATAGGTTTCAACTTTCGGCAATGTGCTTAGTTTTGATAGTTGAGGTCACTTTAACCTATTGAGGTCTATACAAGCTTTTCAATGTATTGACCTAACATGAGTTTACACAATTGCACTTTTGTTGGTGTCTTTCTTTCTTTCAAGTATTAGGCTACACTCATTCGAGGAATGTATTTTTCTGTAGTTGTCATCCCTGATCGGGCACTTGTCTTGGATTGGGTTTTTGCTGATGGTCCACCCAAGCATGCCATTGCATATGATAACAATCATCGCCAAGACTTCCATGCCATTGTCCCCAAGCACATTCCGGAGGAATTATATTGGGTTGAGGAAGAACTTCAGATCTTCAAGACACTTCAGGAGGAGAGAAGGCTTAGAGAAGAGGCTATGCGTGCTAAGGTTGGTTGTAATATCCCACTCAAGGTTAAAACCAGTGAAGTGGATTTGATGGGTCAAATTTAGAAATCCTCATTACTGAATTCCATTGCTTACCTCTCATGTATGTTTCCATCTATTGTTTTATGATCTCTCACTTCCAGGCTGAAAAAGCAGCACGTATGAAAGCTGAAACAAAGGAAAGGACTATGAAATCATTCTTATTGTCTCAGAAGCATATAGTGTACACTGAGCCTCTTGATGTCCAAGCTGGAAGCAGCGTCACAGTTTACTATAATCCCGCCAATACAGTACTTAATGGTAAACCTGAAATTTGGTTCAGATGTTCATTCAATCGTTGGACTCACCGCCTGGGTCCATTGCCGCCTCAAAAAATGTTGCCTACTGAAAATGGAACCCATGTCAAAGCAACTGGTTAGTTTTCACGTAATCTGATGTCAGTTTACAATTACTACTGACTGTTCTATCATCATAGCTTCAAGTAGAAAAATTTCACACGGGCTTAGTAGTATCTTTAATGTTACAAAGAAATAGAATTTGAGTTGCACTTTTTTGCGTATATTTCTCTATTTTACTAAACAAATAAAGTTCTTTCTGTTAGCTAGAATGCAAACATGGGATTCAAAACCTTAGTATTCTAAGAAGTAGAGAAAGTAATTTTTTTTTGATGAAGTAAGAGAATTTCATTAAAAGCATCAAGAAGATGCATAGCAAAAGAGAGTACAAGTAAATAGAGCGTGTCTGCTCATAAGCAAAAACAAAAATAAACCTATGTTAAAACTAAGGAGCAGACACAGTCCAAAAAATGATCACAGCTAGATACAGGTGCCTGATTAAGCCAAGTAAAAGGTTCAATAAACATTTAGCTTTAAGAGCATGGTTGGGAGTTGATCTCCCATCAAAACATCTGCTATTCCTTTCAGTCCATATACACCACAAAATAGAAGCGGGGATCAAGAGCCAAGTTTTTTTTGATGGATTTGCCAACTCTCCAAGAGCACCAGCTTTCGTAGGCCTCTTTAATACTATTAGGCATGACCCATGCTAGTCCAAAAATTGAGAAAAACATACTCCACAAATTTGCTGCAACTGCACAATGGAGAAAAAGATGCCTCACACTCTCTGCCTTCATCTGACACATGTAGCACCTATTCACTATGTAGATGTTCCTTCGACTTAGATTATCTTGAGTGAGACATGCTATATAAGGTTATCCAAGTGAAGCCAATTACTTTAGGTGGAAGTTTAGTTATCCAGATGAGTTTCCATGGCCAGTTGTCAATCAAGTCCTTGTTCGAGCACAAATATGCATAACCTTTCATGATAGTGAATATCCCATCATGTTGGCCATCCCATAATAGTTTGTCTCTCTCCTGAGGTTTGATAGTGACCCCTGCTAGCTTAGATTGAAGCTCCAGATAGTCATTTAGCTCCCAGTCCTGTAAGTTTCTCCTTGTTTGTAGGTCCCATGAGTTGTTGTGCCATATTTGACCCACTGTGGAGTTTTGATTGCTAGCTATGAGATATAAATTTGGGTAGTCTTCTTTCAGAGTCTGGTTCCCTAACCACTTATCCTTCCAGAATGATACATGTGCTCCATTCCCTAGCTTTATTGAACAGTTGAGTTGGAATTCACCCCATATGCTTGAGATATGCTTCCAGGGACCAGTGCCATGTGGTAACCTGCTCTGTTTGGTGCACCATTGACTCTGCACTCCATACTTTGCATGATCGCATCTTTCCACATCCCAGTGTTCTCAATGTTGTACCTCCAATGCCACTTCATTAGCATGCTCTTGTTGTGCAATGCTAGGTCTTTTATGCCCAATCCTTCATGCTCCTTTGGCAGAATCACTCTTGGCCATTTCACCAGATGAAATTTGTTGTTTTGACTATTCCCTTCCCACAGAAAGTTTCTTCTAATTTTGTCTAGCCTTTTCTGCACCCTGGCTGGTATAGGAAATAGGGACATGAAGTATGTTAGTATGCTGTCCAGGACACTGTTAATGAGTGTTATTCTGCCCCCTAGTGAAAGATACTGCATTATCATAGAAGTAGAGAAAGTAATTTAAGTCTCTGATGCATCTATCATCATAGCTTCAAGTAGAAAAATTTCACACAGGCTTAGTAGCATCTTTAATGTTGCAAAGAAATAGAATTTGAGTTGCTCTTTTTTGCGTATATTTCTCTATTTTACTAAACGAATAAAGTTCTCTCTGTACTTGTTCGCTAGAATGCAAACATGGGATCCAAAACCTTAGTATTCTAAGAAGTAGAGAAAGTAATTTAAGTGTCTGATGCATTGATGCTGAATATATATTGTTTGAACAACTGATGAATGTAAGATATGATTATACATATAATATATAAATATCAGTGTTTTGCTGAATAAATACTAGTTTTATCCGAAAAACATGTTCACTTTTCTCTTTCCATCTGGCTACTGGTGTTGCAGTGAAGGTTCCATTGGATGCACATATGATGGATTTTGTATTCTCTGAGAGAGAAGATGGTGGAATTTTTGACAATAGAAGTGGAATGGACTATCACATACCTGTGTTTGGAGGAGTCGCAAAAGAACCTCCGATGCATATTGTTCATATTGCTGTCGAAATGGCACCTATTGCAAAGGTACACTTGGGCGATTACAACTTTTGGTTTATGCTAAAATATTATACCTTTGTGCTTTAATTGATCCTTCAGCACTGCAATTCAATATCTGAAGAGAGATAAAGTGCTGATGATAACAAAAGGGGGATTTGGTCTTGTGAGAGAACTTTTTTCAGGAGAGCTAATGCTGCATCCTTATTTTGTTGCAAAAGAAGCTTTTGCTTTGATGATAACCAGCTACACTAGATGTTTGGGCAGTTACACAGCAAACAGTTAGTCAAATAAATTCGTTCCATTTTAAAAGAAATGATCTTCTTGTGAGTTGTGACTTTTATGGTTGTTTAGCTTAGAGTCAATGTTTACTGTTTAGTATTTGAAGGAGAGAAAAATGAGTCTATTGAGAATTGTAAAGTGAATTTGAAAGGATAAACTGGCCTTGTAGTATTACTTTTTGACTTTAAATTTGCAAGACAATGAACAAAGTTTTCCTATTAGGGAAGTGGATATCATTCTCGGATGATCACAATCAGAAAAAAGCATCACCTAGTTTAGAAGATACAGTGGTTTAAGTAATGTTGTAGACATCGGATTAAGAATAAAAAGAAGAAAACTGTGATATCGTTGAGGTACTTTGAATATATCCAACACATACCTGTTCATTACCTATTAAAAGGAGTGACATTACCTGTTCATACGTTGTTTTTGCAGGTGGGAGGCCTTGGTGATGTTGTTACTAGTCTTTCCCGTGCAGTTCAAGATTTAAACCATAATGTGGATATCATCTTACCTAAGTATGACTGTTTGAAGATGAATCAGGTAAGCTTGAATATTCTTCATTACCAAGTCTGCTATTTATTCTTCATTCCACTTCCACACACTACGTCTGCAACCCAAGAAGGCTTCTCATTGGCACTTACAATAGCTACCTTTTTGCTTCAATATTTTGTTGCTAAAAATGAAATATAGAAGCCTTGGTCCTTCTGTCAACTACGTGTAAACGTGTGGCAGCTATTATCCTCCATTCTTGCAGATCTGGTAAAAGTACAAGTCCTCCTGTCAACTAGGAGAATGTTCAAACATGATTGCAATAAACAATGCACCTTACCTTATAAAGAAATAAATAAATAAAATTGCTATAAACCATTTGAGTTTTAAATGTATCAACATACTTTCAGTAATATAATGCCATGTTGCTACGAATTCTTATTAGGTGAAGGACTTTCAGTTTCACAAAAGCTACTTTTGGGGTGGGACTGAAATAAAAGTATGGTTTGGGAAGGTGGAAGGTGTCTCCGTCTACTTTTTGGAGCCTCAAAACGGGTATGCTGATTATGCTTTAACTTATATGCACAAGAGCTACTTATGTGATGTTTTTGTTTAATCAGAAAAAATGGACGAAATTTATAGTCAGCTTTTGTAAGGCTGTTTACTAATTGTGAAGTAAAGAGGGAAGTACAATGCACTCTAAAGGCACTCCCAAGATGAACTGCAAATCAAACTCCTTTATCTACTCTCTTTTGTTATCTCGCAAAACAAATAGAAAAGTTACACTCATTTCCCCCTAAAGCTTTTTTTTTTCAAATGAACCCTTGTTCTCATTTCCAGAAAGACCAACAACTGCGGAGATGGCGGCTGCAANTCTCCTATTTCATTCCTTCATCCCTCCCCCAAAAGTTTTATTTACTTATTGAAGTCCTTTATCGAGAGAGAGCAAACAATTTCCTTCTTGAGTCATGGTTTATGAGCTTTCGTTGCTACTTTTTCTCTGTCTTTCCAGTTTCTACATACAAAGGAAGGAGTTCAATTACAGCTAAGGAAACTAACTGACATTTGTTGTGTGATCATGAACTAACTGAAGTTGTATGTGCTAGATAAATTGTTTATTACATGACAGCGTTTTATTCTTTATGGATCAGTGATGTAGAATTATATTAGAAATTGCACTTAAAAGTACGCAACACATAGACAGGTAATCCTCTAAAAAGGAAAACGGAGAATGGCCCAATGGTACAAAAATAAAAAACCAGATACAAGCATGCACCATTTAAAAGAAAAGGATCTGAAGAAATATTCAAATGATTGAAAGGCAGTAAAAAATTGTAGGATCCCAACTGTCTTACCCATTGTGCTGACTTATTTGTAGAATTTATACACGCCACCCATCCCCCAAGAAAAAAAAAGGGAGACCATTTTTTGGTATTCTTCTTGTATACAAGTGTCGTTTTGCCTAAACATTTCAATAAAATCTTATTGCTTTATTAAAATTTTTGTCTTCTTTCACTATGTGCGTATTTTAGTTGGATGGCCTGGTTAAAATCTTCCTATTCACTTATTTTAAGAAGTTCATCCACAAGTCGGAGGTCTTGTTGTTTTACAAAAAAATTCTATTGAAAGATGTCTTCTTTCCCTCTGTTTCTACTCACTTCGGAATGGAATCAAACTTAAGCTTTTGTCTACGACTTTATCACTTCCTTCTTCCTTTCTTTCTCTTCCTAAAAATTGATGCAAAAGAGAAAAACTTTGTGACTTGCACCTACTTTCTCCCTTTTCAGAAGGTTCCTTAGAGTCTTGTATATGCTAGATATAATTAGGGTAAGAACATCTATATGCTAGACCTAGAACCCTATTAAAATTATGTCATGCAATTCTAATGGTATGTGCAATTCTACCTTTTGCACCTACTACTAGAATATAGCCCTTGCTTCCATCAAGTTAAATTCTTTGAAGGATCAGTGTCTATGGCATTGGGATATCTGCAATTCTACCTTTTGGAACCTTTTGAGTCTAAAAAAATATAGCTATTTAGTCCAGCAGAATATGAAATCGCATTCTCAACTATGTGTGCCTGTTAATTTTATTTCTATTTTTTTGATTGAGCATAAGTAAATTAGGCACTTTCGCTGGCTTCATAAGTTTAATGCTTCATCATTACTGTTTTAGGTTATTTTGGAAGGGGTGTGTATATGGTTGTAATAATGATGGTGAAAGATTTGGTTTCTTTTGTCACGCGGCTTTGGAGTTTCTTCTGCAAGGTGGATTTCATCCGGTATGTTCCAGAATTTATCAAGATGCTAATTTAGAGAACTCATATTTTCTTGTTTCTGTACCCATTTTATTGTTTTTTTTAATAAGGTGAAGATTTTATTGAAAACAGTATCAAGCTGATACTGTGAACATACAGAGATAGTGCTGGCTTAAAAACATTAAAATCCTAAGCGGTCTAGCATGTCCAGCATATTATGAAAATTCATAACAACCTATCCATCTTTCCAATAGTACAAATAATGCAAACAACTATATTTCACATATTGCAGCTGCTCCTCCTTGCCTTCAAAACACCTATTATTTCTTTCTTTCTATATCGTCCAAGCTATGCTAAGAGAATTATCTCTCCAAATCTTCTTTATTGTTCAAAACACCTTGTAAAATTCTTTAAATGGTAAAGCTATAAATAATATCTGAAAGAGGCAAGTTGATTGTAGATATCTATTGGAACCGCTTCAGGTTAGAGCTTTTATGGTAGTGAAAGCTGCAAATTGCCAATACGTATGACCACTGAAGTTGTTGGATTAATTGGGTCTGCAACATGCTTCCTTGGTCCCAAATTAACTTCTTAAGTTGACTTTTGAGGATCAGAATTATGAAATTCGACAAATTATTCATAATGTCCTTATTCTTTTATAACTGAAAAGTTTCCAAAATTTAAGCTTTAAGGTGAATCTGTCTCAAGATGCAGAATTGGACATTTTGCACTCCAATTCAACTTCAGACATCTAAAGTGGGATGGAGTGTGTACTACTTTTCTATTTTCTCCCTATGTCTTACTGTTTGCTACAATAAACAAGAGCTTTTGAGCACCAAAAATAAGAATTTCAATTTTCATGCCGAAGTGATATATTCTTTTGTTAATTAGATTTTATTTGCTCGTGTTCTTACTGTTCACTTGTCCGGCAGGATATCATCCATTGCCATGATTGGTCTAGTGCTCCCGTTGCGTGGCTCTTTAAGGAACAATATACACACTATGGTCTAAGCAAGTCTCGAATTGTCTTCACAATACACAATCTTGAATTTGGTGCAGATCTCATTGGGAAAGCAATGACTTATGCAGACAAAGCTACAACAGTAAGTGCCTCTATTGCCTATACCTTATAGATAGCTGTTTGTGCTTTATGCTGTCGACTCTTGAAAAATGGTGCTATGCATTAACCGACGGCCTCTTTCAATACTTGCTAGGCAAAAGTTTTGGATTTGAATTCCCGAAGACAATGGTCATCATTTTGTCAGGCTTCATATTTGTTTTATGTTTGTTTTGCCTTATCATTTTTTGGAAGAAGATTGTAAAATGCCCTCTAGGAAAAAAGGCATTATTTGCTGCTTTCAGACACTAGTATAACAGGCAAAGACTGTCTAATGGCCTAAAGCTATGGACGCTGCTGGAGATAAAGTAAGAACAGACAAATTCTGAGGAAGCTACACAAGTACATGTTCTTGAAGTATAGACAGAAAAAGTGTTAAGGGCTTCAAGTATACTTCCCTTTTGGCTTTATTAAAAGAAAAAAGTAACATTCTTTTTTGGTTGTAGCAAAACTGTAAAGGTTTTCAATGAAAGGTAAAACTCTATCCTAACAGGATTTACATGCAGGTTTCCCCAACTTACTCAAGGGAGGTGTCTGGAAACCCTGTAATTGCACCTCACCTTTACAAGTTCCATGGTATAGTGAACGGGATTGACCCAGATATTTGGGACCCGTTGAACGATAAGTTCATTCCGGTAAGTTGTCTCTGCTTTTCTCAATTATTATATTACCTACAAGTGCCCACATTTGAAAAAGTTCATGCTATTTTGTGAATTTCACGTGCTGAACTCCTAGATTTTGTGATAAATTTATTCGAACAACTTGCTAGATTGTCTGCTTTTGTTTGGTGGGGAAAAAGGTTTTTGCCCTTTAATTGCTCTCTATCGATAAAACTATCCCAGGAGTGCAATTTAGTTGGATTTAGGTCTCCAAATTCTCTTCTTCCCCCTTTCTTTCTCTGCATATAAACTGTCAACTGCAGTTCTTGAAAATGGCCTCCCTGAAGATTACACATTAACTGATTATTGGTCAATTGAGGAATGAAAGGATATCTAGTCACAAAAAAGAAGAAGCTTAGTGGTACTGCTTTCTTAACTTTTTTGCTTGCAAGAAAGGTTGTGTACCTCCCAATACTCTACAAACAACTGTTGGAAATGCAGGAAATATTTTATTATGAGCAATAACTATAATTGAATCCGTCATGTGTACTTGTGGTGGGCGTGGGTCATAAGTTGTGGATCTTTCTTCACTTTCTTAAAGGAGAAGTGGAAGTTTGGGTTGCCAGTGCAAAGACATTTCAGCTTTTGTGGATCTTTACCTCATTTTTTAGTAGCTGATGCCTGAATGACGAGGCCAATGTGTATAGGATTTTCCCGCTCGTGCTTAGTCAAATTCTAATATAGTTTAAGATATCGTCCCACAGAGATTGGAAAATCTATGTTACAAACTTGTAATATTTTAGCTACTACTTGAGAGAACCAAATTGATGAAAAGAGTAGGATTTTGAATTTGTAAATTACTTAAACCAAAACAACTTGTGGAAAATTTATATTTAAAAAGTGTTGGGAATCATTGAATTCACTTGACGATATTTTTATAATGAAATCTCTATTTCTATATATATTTCACTAATGAATAATTGCTTATTGCTAATACAATTATGTTTTGCTCACTAGAAAGTAAACAATTAATAATACTCCTTGAGGTTATATTATTAACTAACTTACGACTAGTGACGATAAGACCGAAATATGTGTCTTGCCTGAATTGTGCTAAGAGGTAGTAAAAACTTCGTGAGAATATTTTTACTACAAAATCAATGATATTGCTTATAACAATTCCTTCGTGAGAATTAAAATTGAAGTAAGCAAAAATCAAGATTTGGAATGCTAGATTGCTGAAAATTACCCTCTATCTATTGATTCACACTGGTCAGTATGTATCGATTTTGCTTCGTGAGAATTACAAAATCAATACAAGTAACTTGAGAAATAAATAGATAGATGTGGCTAATTAAAATCTAACACCCCAGCACAATATAAAAGTGGAGCTAGAGAACCTCAGGCCAAGTATGTAATAAGATTGAGAAAACTATTATAAATATATATATATCAAGCTTCATCAACTATCCCAACAAAAAAGACACTACTCCATTATCGAGTATTTGAAAAAGAAAGGACTTCTATAATATGGCCTATATTGCCAATACTACTAGGAAATCTAAAAATTGTAAGAAGTAATGAAAGAAGAACAAGAAAGATTAAGAGAACAAAACTTTAGAAAATAAAGTCGCTCTTTTAATCCTTATTCCTCGATGCCTACTACACAGAGAATTGCCTTCTATTTATAAATGTGCATTTCTTCTTGAAGTGTTGTGATCTCAAGTGAGGAAGATGCATCTTGAGGAGAATATGTCTTGAGGAAGATGCATCTTGAGGAAGATGTATTCCGAGGAAGATGTATCTCGAGGAAGATACGTCATGAAGAAGATGCGTCGTGATCTTCTTGCATTGTGGAGTGAATCTGTTACGACCTTCTTGTTTCTTTCATTTTCTTGCTTAATTAATAGCATTCTTATCTCCTGCAAAACATTGTTTGAAAATACAGAGAATCGGCATATTATATAAATACTTTTTTTAAAATAGTATATTTTTAAGTATATAATATATGAATATTTATATTCATCACTGAACAAGGAGGCTGCTCCCCTTGATGCCCGGATATTGTCCTATTGTTGTGTGTAAGGCCATATAGAGGTGATTTGTAGAATTTTAAGCATGGCCTGTTTGACAAGTATCTTGCTCTAGAGTGGCACGGAGGGAGTATTATATTTGCTTATTCTTTGTAGCTTTAAGTTCTTGGAGTTAAATCATGTGTCATCTTTATTTGTCTGATGGTTGTGGCACTGTTGGAATGCATGCAATTACAGATTTCATACACCTCGGAAAATGTTGTTGAAGGCAAAACAGCAGCCAAGGAAGCTTTGCAGCAAAAACTTGGACTGAAACAGGCCGACCTTCCTTTGGTAGGAATAATCACCCGCTTAACTCACCAGAAAGGAATCCACCTCATCAAACATGCTATTTGGCGCACCCTGGAACGGAATGGACAGGTGTTTTTCTTAAAATACCTAAGTTCTTCAGATGCTCCCCCTTCTTTTGCTTGGGGAAGGGAGGAATGTACTCATCTTAAGCTTTTGGCTTGTCAAAATGTTGTTATATGTTCTGATAATAATTAGTATAATATTTTGTTCTAAACCTTTTTGGTTTTGGATGGCATATCCAATTTGTAGATTGAAACTGATCTAAGATGCCAGAGAATACCACTTCTCGCATGCTTGTTCTCTCTAGTTTTATTCTGAATGGAATCTTATTTTTGAAAGTCTGTTATAGCAGGATGCTATGATCTTTCATTGACAAAGAGTTGTGACAGGTGGTCTTGCTTGGTTCTGCTCCTGATCCTAGGATACAAAATGATTTTGTTAATTTGGCAAATCAATTGCACTCCACATATAATGACCGTGCACGGCTCTGTCTAACATACGATGAGCCACTTTCTCACCTGGTATTGTTTTCCTTTCCTTCTTGTTGCATATTTTTATCTTCACACCTTACCCTTATTATATAATTACATTTGGTACAATTGCAGATATATGCTGGTGCTGATTTCATTCTAGTCCCTTCAATATTTGAGCCATGTGGACTAACACAACTTACGGCGATGAGATATGGTTCAATTCCAATTGTGCGTAAAACTGGAGGTACCTTTTTCTTATGAACTGTAGTTTTAGAAATTCGAATATCTTACCATGTGCAGCTTGTTTAGTACCGTTCTGCCACTTCAACTGTATATTTAGATATGATGTTTTAGCAACTCAATTTTTCTAGCAAAGGTTCTCTCTCTCTCGACCTTAACATTCACTTTTTCATGATGTGACCATATTTTTGGAGGCATATATATGAATGACCATTTTTTATTTGGTTAAGCCATAATTAAATTAATAAAGTGTCCCTTTTTTTGGCTACTTAAGCTTTAAAGATGAGGTAGCTAACAATTCAACATGGTAGCAACTAGCAAAGTAGAAAGAGGTTTTGGGTTCAAGTTTCACTACTACCCATTATAAAAAGGTATCTCTGCATGCTTGGCCAAAGAAAAAGAATATGGCTCTCACGTGAGAAAACATTTTAATACAATTCATAATATATTACTTAATAACATAAGAAAATAATTCCTTATCAAAAAAGAAAAGGAAAAAAGACGATAATTAAAAAACAGTTCTTCCTAACACTTTAAGCTTTTAGATGTGGTGGTCACACACCGGAACAGGTTCCAATCTCTTGTAGCATTGCAACTGCAGATGTTCATATATGGTATGCGAGCGACCAATAAACCAACTACTACTGTGTCTGTGTAATGCTACCGATCAGAATTTTCAATTGTAGTTTTTCTCTTTTAGTAGTGAATTCACTTGATGTATATTGGATTCACAGGAGCATATTGCATTCTCTTGAATTAAGTGCGAGAATAAATATTTATCTGCGCATGCTAGAATTTTCTTTTGATGCCATTGACTTAATTATTATTTTAGCAGATCCCAATTCATTTGCTTCTGAATGAGTGTTTTAACCTCTGCATTCTGTATATTAGGACTTTATGATACTGTATTTGATGTTGACCATGACAAAGAGAGAGCACAACAGTGTGGTCTTGAACCAAATGGATTCAGCTTTGATGGAGCTGATGCTGCCGGAGTTGATTATGCTCTGAATAGGCAAGTATACTTGCTTTTTTCAATTAAGCCTTTTAGTCTTAGCAATTTTAGAGGGAAAGAGAAGTAAATGTGATGGCATACACAGTAATAACTGAACTCTTTAAAGTCCTGCACTATTTGCCCCTATTTATTATCTTGTTCCTCCTAACTTAACATTTCTTCGTTAAAAGATGCGAGGACAGCCTTAACAGAATTCCAGGAACTTGCTGAGATCTTGGAATTTTTTATCAATTCAGTTTTGTTTATATTCTAATTTGAGGAAAGGGAATACAGAGTTGCTGAAACAGGGAAAGGGATAGCAATCTGGGTAATCTGTCTTCAGTTTGAGAATTTTCATTTTCTTATGCTTGCTTACAACAGAACGAGGAAACAGCTTTTTAACAAGAGAAAGGACCAAAAAAGTTATTCTGATTTTCTTTTGTCCTGAAAATAACCAATTGTTTCCTGTTGAAGTCCCAAGAGGAATATGCTATTAGTAATTCTCCCCGTTCTTAGTGTTAGAGAATACACTTTGTCCTTCATATATTGTGTAAGGTTTTCCAGAAGGGTTTATAATGTCCTGGGTCGCTCCACCCTTTGCCTTAAGCTTTGTGTTGGATGCTCAGATTTTTCACATGATATCCACGCCGCACCCATAAATATTCTTGATTTACCTAATATTGCGTTAAGTGTCTATTTGGTAGAGGAAATGAGCTGTTGTTTTCTTATGATCTTGATCAATCCTCACCTCATGAGCTATCTTTTGCGGTTGAGTAGGCTCAAGGTCCATTTTCTTCACATGCTATCAGGCAAATTTTGGTAAATAGGTAGTACAGCCGCTTAATTTTCTCCTCATGTTCTATTGCTCTGAAAACTCCATTGAGCCACTAATAGTTCTTCTGGCTCACTAATTAGTCTGTTGGGCCTGACCAGTACTTTAGGCCCACTTCTGTTGAGCCACCTCTTCAGCCCCCGCAACCCCCTCCCGAAAAAAATAAAAAAAGAAATCTTCAGTGCACACGTAAACCCAAGAACCAGGTTACACATGTGGGAAGCTATTAGAGAATACACTTGTCCCTCATCAGTTGTGTAGGGTTTCCAAAGAGCATTGATAATGTCCTGGGCTACTCCACCCATTGCCTTTATTTTTTGGGTCGGATGCTTAGAGTCTTTCACACTTAGATGTTATGGTTAGATACCTTCTGGGGTGCATCAAGGGCCTCTCTGGATCCCTTCTACTGCATTTCATTTGTTCTACTAAATGTATTTAGGCCTCTCAGTTTTCTCTTGTAAATGCCCTGCGGCCTTCAGCTTTTACTCTCTTCCTCCTCCCAACTGAAGACACTCCACCAAAGCCAGCACCCTAGTGCCCCTTCTCAATGTTCCTAGATGGAGAAAGAAGAGCAGCTCAAACCATCTTAAACCTAAGCGACATCCAGCTACTTATGCAAGGATCTTCCACCCAATTTGTGCTATGTTTGCATCCCTATGGCATATTTAAAGAAAATATTTGAAGCCCAGTCATCGCTGCAATGGTGGATCTTCCACTGCGGACTATTTAGATCATAAGCGTCCCAGAGCTGAACTTCCATCGAAAGAACTGACCTAGGAAAGCTCCTTGACATACATGGTGGAACCATCCTGCACTAGCCTTGGTGGTTGTGGTGTTAGATTTCTTTTATGGAATACATTAGTTTGGCGGTTTACTTCTCATTTTCTTTTGTCGTTTCATCCTTGAGACCATTTGTTATTATAATCCTTGAGACCATTACGGGGAGGGATGGGGGAAGTAAGTTTGCTATGAATTAGTTTCTGGTTATGAAAATAAAACTGCTCAAATGTAGAAATTGGAGAAACAAACTTCTGATGAGCATGTTATTGGAAATGACAATAAATATTGAACATGGAGCGAATTGCCACTGAGTAACTGCTTAAATGTTGGGAAAGGTGGAGATATTATTTTTCTCTTCACACCATCCCTTTTCTTTTTTCTTCTATCCCATGCACATGCAAAGACGCATGCTTCCTCCCCCTTTTCCTTGTTTTGCTAATATGTATGGACTCATTTACGGTTCTCTGTTTCAGAGCTCTGTCTGCTTGGTATGATGGTCGGGATTGGTTCAACTCTTTATGCAAGCAGGTCATGGAACAAGATTGGTCTTGGAACCGACCTGCTCTTGATTATTTGGAGCTTTACCATGCTGCTAGAAAGTTAGAATAGTTAGTTTGTGAGATACTAGCAGAAAGATTCACGAGATCTGCAATCTGTACAGGTTCGGTATTAGTGTTTGGACTACATTTCTTTTCCTATAGCAAAGTATAATGCAAATCTACCCTGGGATCAATAGCAGACAGTATCCGTTAGTTAATTTTTTTTTCTGAAGCATATGAAATAGTTTTGCCTCGAATAATGTAGTCTATTGATGCTTATTCAGTTTTAGAAGAAATGAGAAATCAAAGGATGCAAATACTCTCATTGGCTCTTCAAGATTGAACTTTGGATCCTAAATCCATACTACATTACTCAAACAGGTTTTCGGAGGGTCGGCTGTTTTGTTCTGGTATTATGTGGTTATTGGAGGGTAAAAGGAGCTTTACAATGTCTTTTGCAATTTTCTTGCTTTAAAATATCCACCATATCTATATCCTGATTTTCTTAATAACTTATGAGAGTTTGAAAAGAATTACTCCTTGTTTTTCTCGAAGCCTAAGATCAAAGAGGTAATCATCATTTGGTGACACCTTGATTTTTATTTGCCCAATTTCAAGTCATTGTTGAATTGATAATGATAGTACAACAGAAGTATTTACTCCTAGAAATGAATTCATGAGCATAGTAATTACTGCACCTGGAGTCAAATGTCAAAAAGGTATTGAACACCAGTGAGCTAATTGGCTCTCTTTACAAATTATAACAAGTTGAAAGATTTTTCATTAGTTTAAGTCAAGCTTGCTCTAGTAACCACTAAACTTGCTTAATTATCTTTGCTGTCACTGAAGCTATTTCTGGTTCCCTTCCATTATAAAGAAAGATTTTATGCAAAGTGGTGGATCAGTGTGACAGGATTGGAATTGGGTGGCATATTTGATAGAGACAATTAGCATTAGCTTTAGTCTCCACTTATCTTCATAAGGTAAAATTAAAATATACGTACATAAAGGTGAAAAGTATAATTGTGTATCTTTTTTTTTTTTTTTGAAATGACACCAGGTAGCCATTGCAAAGGGATGTTATTTAGGAATTAGCCAGTGCGTTTTGAATTTTAATTTTTCAGTTTAATTGTTTAGGACAAAAATGTCCTTAGATTAAAAAATTTAGTTTATAATTTCAGGACAGAATAAGTACTGCTTAAATCTCTAAATAGTATCCCTAAAAATGGTTGTCCGTGCACTTGTCCCATTTTTTTGTTCACTCCATGAATCCTACTCAAGTGCATACGCGAAAGTAAAGTTGTTTTGATTTTGCCCCTTTTAGCTCCTTACTAGGATTCCACCAGACTTTTTGCCTACATAAAAAGGTCCAATGAGGAATTTTTTGCTCATATATGAAAAGATACGTTTATGATATTGCAATGAAATGGACTTGAATAAAGCATAATGGACATAGATTATTTATTTATACAATTGATTTTAGCTCGTTTTGGATCGAGGTATAGTTGATATAAGGGTGATAGGGTAAGCTTTTAAGCTAATTATAATTGTTAGACAAGTGTTTATACATCAAAGTCAGCTTATAAGTATTACTTTTTTTTTTTTACTAAACTTTTTTCTATTTAATTTCCTTAAAACTCCCGATACATCTTCTCAATATAAAACCTCGAACTCCAACCAGATGATCCCTAATTTCCCTTACTAAGTTCTATCTGTTGTAGCATTGTGTTGCACCATTTATTTCTGTCCATTGCAAGGGCTTTTATTGGCAATAATTTATGAATTATTTAATGCGAGACAAATGTGAAACTAGAATACATGCATTAGCTAGTAATACTAGGATGAAAGTATTTAAATATGAAAATTCCTAACATTCGCTATATTATTATTGACCATACACAACAATCCTCACATTGTTTTTCGCTGGATATAGTTCTTTCAATATTCATCGTATAAATAATTTATACATTATAATCCATCATAACTAATATGTCAACCTATGCCATTAGTTGTCTAAATTTCTTATTCAAGCTTTTAAAAATTTAAAATACAAAAACCCTCTTACATGGTATCATGATCCTAGAATCACTATAAGGATAATGAAAAAGATAGGGAAAAAAAAAACTAAAATATGGTTCTTTTTGAAGTAACTTCATGTGGGCCACCGAGGTAGCATAAAATTGCAAGATTATATATTTGCTTTGCTCTTATTGGTTGGTAAATTTAAATTCATTTAATTTCGATATCTGCTGATCAAGATAATTTATTTATACCCTTTCCTTAATTTTATATCTTATCATCGCGTATTGACATTCCAACAAGAAGCTCTTCTGTCACTTACATGATTAATTATGTCGATTTTTTGGGACAAGTGGACGAACGTACGCAAAACAAGAAGATGAAACAAAAAAAACGGCACAAATAGTCACTAAAAGCAGTGACTTTTATTTTAAAGCCACTGTTTTCAATATATTTAGACTTTAGCCACTCCTTTAAAATTTTAAAGCCACTGTTTTCAATGTATTTAGATTTTAGCCACTCCTTTAAAAAATTTATATCTGACTGAACAAAAATACCCTTCTGGTATAACTTATACCTACGCTATCAACACAAGCAGCAGTTACACAAAGAGAAGAAGCGAGCAGCAGCAGCAGTTACCACAACGGCGATCAACTGAGGATTGATAAAGTTATAGACATCGCCTCCTATGATAATTCTATATTCCGGACATAGTGTCTTCATTTTAGAAATTGAATTCAAAAAAATAAGAACACTATGTCCTTAACTTTGATTCTACTGGCCTCATTTTGCAAATTGAATAAAAAACTTAAGGACAAAATGTCCTTCACTTTGTTGTTGTTCTTCTGTATACAAAGTCCTGTAGCTTGAGTTTCAAATTGTATGTTTTAATTTCTGGTTCAAATGTTAAGGACTGACAGTCCTTAACTTTTAAATACATGTTTAAATGTTAAGGACTAGCAGTCCTTAACTATTAATTCCATGTTTAAATGTTAAAGGACAGACAGTCCTTAGCTTTTAATTTCTTGTTCAAAAGTTAAGGACTGACAGTCCTTAATTTTTAATTCCATGTTTAAATGTTAAGGACTGACAGTCCTTAACTTTAATTACATGTTTAAATGTTAAAGGACAGACAGTCCTTAGCTTTTAATTTCTGGTTCAGAAGTTAAGGACTGGCAGTCCTTAACTTTAATTCCATATATAAATGTTAAGGACTGACAGTTCTTAACTTTAATTATATGTTTAAATGTTAAAGGACAGGCAGTCCTTAGCTTTTAATTTCTGGTTCAAAAGTTAAGGACATGCAGTCCTTAAATTTTAATTTCTGGTTCAAAAGTTAAGGACAGACAATCCTTAAGTTTTAATTTCTTGTTCAAAAGTTAAGGACTGGAAGTCCTTAACTTTTAATTTCATGTTTAAATGTTAAGGACATTCAGTCCTTATCTTGGTCTTGCACTTACAGTACACCTATTCTTAATTCTACAAGGATTGCTTTATAACGTTGTCCTTTGTTTCCCATTCTCTTGACTTGTAGGATGGAAACAATATGCATAATAGTTGTTTTTAATGGTAGATGGACTGAAGACTATAAATATCTTGAAACAGAACATAAATCATGAACTAGCAAATGAAAAAGTACCCATGCCTCGAGTGCCACCAATTACAAGAGCATTCATGCCATAAAGGGACCATCTATTCACTTTTCCACTACACTTAGTGGCAGTGGCAGTAGTTGTGAGTCGAACTGACTGCAATTCATCCATGGGTTTATTATAAAGTTTCTGGGTTTTGGAAGTTGAATTTTGTGTTTGAGAGAAGCAGCAACAGTGTGTGAAATGAAGAGGGATTCCGACATTTTCTTTTGGAGAGAGAGAGAGACAAGGGATTGAGGGATTGATGTGCACAGATAAGGGATTGAGGGATTGATACTGTTGACCAAGCATGGAGGAGGCCGACCATGAAATCACGCAACGCGAAAGAGAGGAAGAAAGGGTAAAATTATCTTTTTTCTATTAGTAGTGGCTATTTTTGCTGAGCATTATAATTAGTGGATAAAAATTAAAGACACCCTTAATTAGTGGCTACTACATGCTATTTTTACGTTACTGTACTACACTCGGTCCATATTATTTATTATTCCTATCTTCTAAGATATGTCTTTACAAACTATCTTAAAGATATTTAATAACTTTAATTAAGAAATTAACAATCACAATGACCTTTTATATATATATATATTTTTAAAGCAACTCATTTATTTAATTATCCGTTTATTAAAAAAAGTAAGGTGGAGTTGGGAAAGAAATTATTATGTGACTTTTTATTTTTTTAAAATATCAAATATTTTGAAACAAATTTAATTTACCGAAATAACTAATATTTGGGATTAAAAAGTACTCTGCCTCTTACTGTAATTTTACTTTTGCAGATTTGTGAAATATGACCGCAGTTCATGCTCTATATTGCCATTCTTTTTTTTTTTTTTTCCTTTGGCAATTTCCAAAATTAGAAAGACATCTAATGGGCGAATTCAAAAATAGCCAGATTAACAAGTGGTAATTGAAAAATAGCCACAGTTTCAAAAATAATCGAAATTTAGCCACTTTTTATGTAAAATAAATCTGAATGAAAATACTGTTCAAAATCCGAAAAATATTCCAGTATAATATACTGGAGTTCGAATTTTTTACATGTGAACTTATAGCATAATATACTGGAGTTTCAACATAATATACTAGAGTTCTAGTATAATATAGTGGTCCAGCATAATATACTGGAAGTTCATACACAGGTGCTTCAATCTCCAGTATATTATGCTGGAACTTTTCGTGTGCTGGAGTTCCAACATAATATGCAGGAAGTTCATACACAGGTGCACCAATCTCCAGTATATTATGCTGGAACTTTCCATATTGCAGCAAAATAGTGATTATTTTTCAATGACTTTGCAAATACTGACTATTTTTAAATTACCAGTTCGCTAGTCCGTACTATTTTCACACACCTAATACATATTCATTTATGTTATTTAGAGATGTGGATCTCTCTTCAAGGTGCTAAAAAGTATTTTGATCCACAGTTCACTTTTTCATTGGAAATCAAAATATTTAATCCTCAAAGATACTCACTCTGGCCCACTTTAATTAATTTTTTTGGCTTTTTTGTACTCTATAATATTTGACCTTTTCAAATATCAAGAAGGAATTAACTTTTTTTTTCCAAAGTTGCCCTAGTAGTAACCTATATTAATTGATGCATATTTTTAATGAATTTGAGAAAATAATTTGAAATGACTAATTAATACTGGGGGTATAATAGGAAAAAATAAATTGCCTTCTCTTGATATGTTAAAAGTGACAAATAAAAGTAAAAATCGTTTTTAGAATACTGGACAAGTAAAAATAAACTGAGGGAGTAATTAGCGAGTCCAAGTGGACTACGTATGTTCAAATAATAGTAGAAATAGCGTGGGATAGCCACTTTTTAACATGGTATTAGTTTTTATCCAGAATCTTTAATGCTGAGCAAAAATGCCACTACTTTAGTAATTAATATGAAAAGATGTTTTTACCCTTTCTTCATGAGTGCTCTG